ATGGTCACATTTTGGCTCTGTCATCATCTCTTAGAAGAAGTAAGGAAATACAGAGCTTGTCAATTTCTGAAAGGTCAGGTTACCAAAGGTACTCGGTTCAAAAAGGACGGATTTCATGTTCTGAATCTTGGAACTGTCTGTACTGTTTATCTCTAAAAAGACTTAGCTTCCCTACATTTTCATCACGACCAAATGCTTCAGTAAGGATGACACTGGATTTAAACTGGCACCACTAATGGGCAAGTGTGGCTTTTCTAAAATAGGATGATAGTAATGGCTGATTTTGCTTTTTAAAAAAGGTATAGGTCAGTGATGGGTAACCTTTTCCGGACCGAGTGCCCAAAGTGTGTGTGTGCGCAATTGCGCGCATGCCCACCTGAATCCCCAAAACACAATGTGCATGTGCCCCCCGCACATACCCCCGCACATGCATGTGTGGCCCCCCGCATGCAACTTGCCCCCCCGTGTGGCAGAGAGGAGCCGAGGTGGCGCAGTGGTTAGAGTTCTGTACTGCAGCTACTTCAGCTGACTGCTAGTTCAGCAGATCAGCGGATCAAATCTCACCGGCTCAAGGTTGACTCAGCCTTCCATTCTTCCGAGGTGGGTAAAATGAAGACCCAGATTGTTGGGAGCAATATGCTATTTAGTATACTGTCGATTGTTGAAAACCGCCCAGAGTCCTCGGAGAGTGGGCGGCATAGAAATATGATTAATAATAATTTGATGACTAGCTGGCTGGTGGATGCGTGGCGGAGCTGAACTGGGGAAAAGGCTCATGTGCCCACAGAGAGGGTGTTATGTGCCACCTGTGGCATGCATGCCATAGGTTCGCCATCACGGGTATAGGTAATGCTCATAAGACACTGTTATAATGGAAGAAGGTAGTCCTCGATTTACAACCATTCATTTAGCAACCGTTCAAAGTTACAACAGCACTGAAAAAAAGTGACTCATGACCGCTTTTCACACTTACAAACCGCTGCAGCATCCCCATGGCCACGTGATCAAAATTCAGATGCTTGTCAACTGGTGTGTATTTATGACGGTTACACTGTCCTTCCTGCGACCTTCTATCAAGTGAAATCAATAGGGAAGTCAGATTCACTTTACAGCCAGGTTACTAACTTGACAGTGCAGTGATTCACTTAACAACCGTGGCAAGAAAAATCATAAAATGGGACAGAAATCACTTAATAACTCTCTCACTCAGTAACACTGATTTTGGGCTCAATTGTGATTGCAAGTCAAGGACTATATATGAGAATCAGATGCAATGTATATTTCCCAAAATGGAAGTTATTTAGACATTTATCCTAGCTAGCATTGTGAACATCCTTGTCACAAATGATACTTTTCTGGTACTCATTAAAAGTGAATTTTCAAGTCTGAAGGCTTTGCATTGCTCTGCTCAACAATCTAGCTGGAGAGATACAGTTCTAGGATTATCTATGTTTTTCTTCCAACTCACCTGGAGCAGATACATTCATTCATTCATTCATTCATTCATTCATTCATTCATTCATTCATTCTTTCAGTTATTCATTCGTAAGATATACCTGGTCACCCATTTGAGATATCATAGTCCTGGGCAGTTCAAAAACAAAGATACAAAACACACCCACCAACAACCACAATAAAACTGCTGACACCCTGGGGGGGGGGGGAAAGACTCTTTCACGTACCAGCATTCCGTCTTGCTGGTCTTCAAACCCATTCTTCCCCAAAGTTTGGGGGGAGGGGGAGAGCCAGCTCTTCAAAGCCTTCTGGAAGGTGAGGAGGATGGAAGCCTGCTGGATCTCTGGGGCAAGAGTGTTCTGCACAAAGCAGGGGCAACTATGGAGTAGGCATACTTCCTGGGTGCCACCAGATGGCAGCATTTAAGGGAAAGAACTTGGGGTACACCAACTTTATCTGACCTTATGGGACAGGCAGATACCTTCAAAGAAAAGTGCTCCTGCATTTAGCCTGATCCCATGCCATTCAGGGCATGCAGATACTTGCAACAATTTAGTATGACTTCCATTAACCTAGTAATTATTATTTTTCTTTTTTCTTTTTAATTGCTTATGGCTAACACAGCGACTGCTGGTATTTATAGGCAAGTGAGAATAGAATCACACTTTGTATCAATAGATTTATATTCATATCTGCACTCCTCATGGAGAGTGCAGCCAATACAGGTCCTTCTGGTGTTAATTAAGTTATCAGAAAAAGGAACATTTGCTATAATACCTCACGGTAATTATCCTTTCCCAACTTGGTAATAATATCCAGAAATATTGGGATTATAGTTCTCAAAATTTGCCATTAGCATGGTAAATGTTTGGCTACAGAAGGATGATGGGAGACTGTAGGAGTGGAGGCTGAGAATCTGGGAGACTCTAGTCCTATATTTTAAAAGGTATTTAATAGGGGAAGGCTGATGTAGACCAGCTCAGAATTAACATAGGGAAGGGCTATAGAGGGCTATAGAAAGGCCAGAGCCAGGGACTGGCGTATCCCCCAACCTGAGGTAGGAGAGCGGGCAGCATGTGGGAGGAAGCCCTGGGAAAGGCCAGAGCCAGGGACTGGCGCGTCCCCTGACCCAAGGCGAAGGGAGAGAGGGTGGCATGGGGATGGAAGGATGGCGAGAGCCAGGCCCGAAAGGCGGTCGTGCCTCGCTGTGTCCACCCAGAGGCGGCCCTTCGGCCAAGCACCTTACCTTCATGGGCAGCCACAGTGAGCAGAACGGGCGAGGCGCAGATGTCAGCTGGGCCACATGTTCTGGGCGAAGGAGCCAGGTGTGACTTTTGCCACCGGCCAAGGCGGGCGCGGTGAGATAGGACGGGGTGGGACGGGGCCAGTGGTGGCATTTGCCAGTTTGGCAAACTGTACATAATCTTAACTACTGGTTCGCCCAAACCGGTGCGAACCGGCAGCATCCCACCTCTGGCAATAACCCTAAAACAGAGTAGAGATCTGAAATTGCATGATTTCTGTCCCCCTCCCATTTTAATGTCCTCAGGGTATTGCTTTTTTTTTTTAAGGCAAATGCCTGAACCTGTCTACCCTTTCCCTCTTCCAGATATAGGTAGTCCTTGACTTAAAACAGTCATTTATTTAGCGACCATTCAAAGTTTACAGCAGCACTGGAAAAAGTGACGACCTGTGCTTATGACTGTTTATAGCTTCCTCCTGGTCACATGATTAAAAATTTGGGCACTTGGCAACCGGCATGCATTTATGACTGTTGCGGAGGCCTGGAGTCATATGATTACCATTTCCCTGCTGGGTTCTGACAAGCAAAGTCAATGGAAGAAGCTGGATTCGCTTAACAACTGCATGGTTCACTTCATAATTGAATTGATTGACTTAACAATGGTGGCCAAAAAGGTAATAAAATTGGGTGTGACTCACTTAGCAACCACCTTCCTTAGCAATGGAAATTCTGGTCCCAATTGTGGCCATAAGTCAAGGGCTACTAGTATCTTAACTGTGGGGTTAATTTGCATTAGAAAAAGACTCATTCCAAACCAGCAGCACCAAAGACAAGGTATCTCTTCTGCACTTCTCATGCATCTCAATGTGGATTCTCTCAAGTGATGGTTCCAGAGGGTGCAATTTCCCTGTTAATCATTTTAACTAGGCTCCCCAATAGCTCAGCCCCATGCTATCTGGAACTCAGCTTCAAACAGCTGCTGTGATTTCACTCTCATGAAAGTCGCACAAAATTTGCCTGCCCTGCAGCCCAGTCAGTCCCATCCTACAGAAGAGCAATGTCCAAGAATGACATCTCAGCAGGCCCTTACCCACAGGCACACACATTCTAACCGGCTCTGCTTTTCTGCAGGCGTCCCCAAATGTGACAGCCTTAAGCCATTCTTAGCCGAAGTGGTATGACAGTAGGATTAGTCTCCTTCTTACATCACCATCTCAGCCTTAAGGTGTGGAAAAACTGTTAGGCTTAGTCACCTTAGAGGGAAGTCGGGTGACTGCAGCGAGGTGGAACCAAAGCGAAAGGCACAGGGCAGGGACTGGCACCACATTTGCAAGGGCGCTATTTTCTAATGGTTCAGAAATGGATGGAGAACAGTGGAGAAAGACACCGATTCCTAGAATGGGCTCCGACAACAAGGTCTTAGGAGTATGTGCCTGTGTTTGTGTGGATGGATGAATGGATGGATGGATGGAGGCAAGTGATACTTTCTAACTTTGGCTGATAGTGGTAGGCTGGTCAATGGGGCAGAAACCAATCTGTCCTGCTCGGGGATATTCTAGCAGATTGCGCAGCATAAATCTGATTGCCAGAGAAGGAGGATCTGCCTGTTTGGCTGAAGCCACTCTGGGCACTGCAGCCTGAAACCGGGCACAAGTCCACTGATAGGAGGGTAGTGAGGAGTGTCGAAAGGAAAGAGATAAGAAACCGGGTGCAACCAGAAGTGAGGAAACTGCCCAATTTGACCCAGCACATATTTGTCAATGGGGGAGGCAGAAAGAGACCATCACCCCCTCCCTCTGGCCCATTCCACGTAGGCAGGCCTTTCATCCTTCCTAGATCGGTAACACGAGGACCCAGATTGTTGTGTGTGTGTGGGGGGGGGGACGACGACAATATGCTGACCCTGTAAACAGCTTAGAGAGAGTTGTAAAGCACCACGAAGCGGTATATAAATTTAAGTGCTCTTGCTGTTGCTAGCCAAGAGATTTCCTCGGAGATGCTGAAATTGAGTTCCCAACCAGCTGACAACCAAGATCAGATTCAGGAAGATGACTTTGGAACTTTGCAAATCAAACCTCTTTCCCCCCCATCCCTCCTTCCTTGCACAGAGGCGCGCGTGGGGAAGAACTTTCCCTCTCTCCACGCGAGCCCAAGAAACTAACTAGCCGCGGGTCTACTACGCACGCACGTGCGCTCCCCTTCACACCCCCCACACACCCCCGGCATAGCAACTACAAGCGAGTTTTTCCGACGTGGGTCTCGCCCTCCGCTCGCCGCGCTTCTTCCGTCCGGGACCACGCACCTGTTCCAGCGGGCTATTTTCCGCCGGTAGTAGCGCAGCGTCTCCTGCCCGTTGAGCAGCTTTTCCGCCGGCCTCTCGGGGGCGCTGTAGAGCGGGTGCGCGAAGAGCCTCCTCAGCTTGGAGTGGTTGGCCTGGCTGCTCCGGTTGGCGGACGCGCCGGCCGGCGGCCGAGTCCGGAGCTTTGGAGCGGCTGCGGCGGTGGCAGCGGCAGCGGCTTCGGCGGGGCAGGAGCAGCGTGGCTCCACCGTCTCGGCCGGACCGAGGCGGCGCCGCATTTGGGGCCAGAGGTGGAAGTAGAAATCGGCGCTGAGCAGCGCCCCGAGAAGCAGCAGGATGAGCAGCCGGTCGCGGCGGGTCCCCAGCATGATCAGCCCGGCGTTGGGCGAGAGGCAGGCAGGCCGGGCGGGCGAAAGCAGCACACGGGCGATCCCGGGCGTTGTGTGGGAAGGAGAAGCGAGCCTCGCACCGTTGGCCGGGAGCCCGGGCGAGTCCGGGCAGGGCCTCTGCCCCGCTGCCGCCGCAGGAGCAGGTGAGAAGCCGAGGAGAGGCAGGCAGCGCCCCGCTTCTGGAGAAGAGGCGACCGGCTACTACACCTTTGCCCGATCGCCTCTCCCGAGCTGCCCTCCCCAGGCAGGCAGACCGTGCCGCCTCTGGAAGGATGGATCTGCTCGGGGTGGGGAAGAGAGGGAGGGAGGGAGGGGAGCCGGCACGACCAGCCTCACCTACTACCCTCCTCCTCCTCCCAGTTCAGCTCAGCAAAACCGCGGCGGCGGCATAGGAGCCGCGCCTTCAGATCGGGGCCTCTTTGCTCCCCGGCTGTTCTCTTTCCCTACCTCGCCGGTCTTGCCGAAACGTCCCGGGGCGGAGGCGGAGGCAGCTGGTGGGCAGCCAGAGCCGAAAGCGCCCGGCGGCCGTCGAAAGCAGGGAGCAAGGCAGCCCGAAAGAGAGCGAGCGCCAAGTTTAGGAACTCCGGGGCGGTAATTGCACTGACTGGGCGAAGGCGACTCTCCCTCCGGAGCCGTGCTAAGAAAGCCCCGTTAGAGAGGGAGCTGGAAATGATCGCTTTGCTTCGACCCTCCCTTTGCTCTCGGGAAGGCGAGATTTTAGGCGTTCCGGCGGCTCTCGTGAAGAGACCTGCTCCAAACGCGTGTCAACTTCAGTCTGACTTTGGAACTCGTTGGGCGCTTGTTTGCATCACGTGGTTAACCAGGTTAAATAAAAGACCTAAAAGCCTTTTTTTCTCCCCCAACCCGGATTAAATAGCGGTTTAGTGTATTTTTTATTTATTTATTAAATTTATATGCCGCCCCTCTCCGGAGACTCAGGGCGGCTCACAATACATTTAAAAAAAAAAAACCCATTGTAAAAACATTTCAAAGATTAAAAAACATTAAAAACCTTAGAACGCATTCAGACCATTCAGGGCCTGATCTCGCCAGATCGCCAAGCGAGATCAACGGCCCCAGGCCTGCGGGAAAAGCCAGGTCTTCACAGCTTTTCGGAAGGCCAGTAGGGTGGGGATGGTCCGGACCTCAGGAGGTAAAAATTGTGTGAATGGGATCAGTTTATGTTTCAGCGTATTGGGCGGATTCAGATACAAACTAAGCAGTGCAGACGAGAGAAGCCTGTCAGTTCGGGCGATTCTGCGTTGTGGCTGATGGCTTGAAGGGCAAATTTGGGATGGCTGGACAGCTGGCAGCTACTCACAGAAGGAGGGAAACCAAACCAAACCAAACCAAACCAAACTATTTCCTTTTGGCCTTGCAGGTGTCCCCCACCCACCCACCTCTTACACTGGAACGATTCTTTGGCAGTCAGGAAAGCTACCTACTTCCAAATGCTGTTGCTTTGGAAGATTGGGAAGAGATTGGAAGTTGGTGCTAAAGCCCTTCCTTTTTTCTTTCTTTTTTTTTTTTAATGAGGATCATCCTGGATCGTCCTTGGCATCTCCAATTACTATATATATTCTTTTCAAATGCTGGGCTTCAGTCAGGGCCGGATTTAGATGAAAAGAGGCCCTAGGCTATTCCACTTATGAGGCCCTTTCACCTATAGTGAAAGTGTAATTTTAATTTTGCTAACAATTTGAATGTAGGCCCCTCTTGATCTTGAGGCCCTAGGCTGAAGCCTAGTTAGCCTATAGGAAAATCCGGCCCTGGCTTCAGTTTTCTGGAAAGGTTGCCTTATAGCAGTGGTTCTCAACCTTCCTAATGCCGCGACCCTTTAATACAGTTCCTCATGTTATGGTGACCCCCAACCATAAAATTATTCCTAAAACCATTGAAAACATGTGTTTTCCAATGGTCTTAGGTGACCCCTGTGAAAGGGTCGTTCGATCCCCAAAGGGGTCGCGACCCACAGGTTGAGAACCACTGCCTTATAGAGAGGCATGGCCAGCTGAGCAGAATTGTCTTTTCTTAACAGCAGCTTTTCGGTTGTACCTCCCGTTACATCTGGTCAGTTTAATGCAGTTAATGAGGATGATGGAATGTACAGTTGTTGAACAAATAGTCCGGCCTGCCGTGAGATCAGTTTTCACATTCCTCCTTTCACTTTTGATTTCTTCTCACTTCTTCTTTCTCTTCTGCTCTTCCTCATCTTTCTTTGAAAGACCATTACATTGCTTCCTCTTTTTTATTCCAATCTTCTCAAATAAGATAAACCAACTGGATCTCTATGGCGAGTGTGTGTGTGTGCGCACTCACTAAATATGGGATGTAACTACTGTGGGCAAAATCTGTGCTCCTCCTCTTCTTCTCTGACCCAGGATTAAATAATAGTAACACGGAGCTGAGATATTAGTGCTAAAACTGCTACATATGTGTGTATACATACATACATATATATCAGGGGTGCTATTAAGAAGGTTCTGACAGGTTCTGGAGAACTGGTAGCGGAAATTTTGAGTAGTTCGGAGAACCAGCAAATACCACCTCTGGCTTGGTCCCAGAGTGGGGTGGGAATGGGGATTTTGCAGTATCCTTCCCCTGGAGTGGGGTGGGAATGCAGATTTTGCAGTATCCTTCCTCTGCCATGCCCACCAAGCCACACCACACCATACCACACCCACCAAGCCATGCCCACAGAACCGGTAGTAAAAAAAAATTGAATTTCACCACAGACACACAGACACAGACACACACCACACCAATTTGCTCAATCAACAAATTTCTAGCCTGCCACAATCACAGTAATTCTTGGTGACTTACAATATATATAAAACAAGATTTTTACCATCCATGGTCAGATTAAAAACAATCCTAAGAACAATAACTAGGACAGGAAGGCCTGGAGGAAAGTTGTCTATGGGGTCGTGATGGGTTGGACACGACTTCGCAACTAACAACAACAAAAAATAACAATAACCATGTAAAGCCCTAACACAACAACCATTAAAAAAAAAAGAATATAAGGATAAAGGAAGAAAAACAAAGTGTATATGTATGACAAAATTATTGGGGATATTTCAGGATCTAAAGATAGGCAAACAACTGAGGGTTTGTATTTACATTACAAGCAGAAATATGTTTGATGGTGTTAAAATACCAAACTTTTATGAGAGAGCTGAAGTCAATTTCATTTTTTTGTTGTCACCTCCACCCCAGTGCGAAGAAAGAGGTTAAAGATGTCTTGGAAAGAGTCCGTTTCAAAAGATTTCTTGGCTAGATAAAATGACTTTGATCTGTGGGTCTATCCTGCCAAGATGTATGTTCTTCTTTGCTGATTTGAAAGATTGCACGTAAAATTTTTAGACTGGATGCCTATGATAATCATTTTCTTCTGGGCAAGGAATCATCAGAGAATTATGGGCCTTTATAAAACATAGGATTAGAACAGGGCTGGGGTTAAGAATTATTTCCATCACAAGTGTTACCATTCTTAGCAACTGCATTTGTCAACTGTGGTCTTAAAAGAATTCGCCCATAGGCACAATTTCAATTAAGTGCTTTAAAAGCTCACTTAAGACACAACACGGACTATGCTATATGTGGATCAAATAATCTTAAATCTGTTTTGTTTTTTAAGAAAAGGAAGTCAGACTCTTTTTATATTCCCAGTAAACTCTTCATTTTTTTCTTACTTCAAGTAAGTTTCTCTATCCCTCAATGAGCTTCATACAAACAAAATTATGGGGTTCTTTTCTCAGTTGTCATAAATGAATATCAAGGATTTCTTTAAGAAATGATGAGTTGGCTATTGTAAATTATACTATTATGATGGTGGAAACCAGTTATCAATTTTGGCCTTCCAGAATGGTATCAAAAACTGGTTTTGCCATTTGGCTTGGGGACCCAAGGGGGGCACTCACCCCTGGAGGCAGTTAATGGGGTTAGAAGGTCTCATCCCCATGCCATCTATCTCCTTGATGCTAGTTTTATATATAGCTTTTAAAAATTTTAGTTGTGTTTTTATTTATCTTTTTATGTTTGTAAGCCTCTCAGAGTGGCCTTGTAGATAAAAGGGGCAGCATATAAAATAAATAAATAATCACAATTTCTTTCCCTAAGGCTTTCTTTCTGTATTAAAGATCCTTTAATTCTCAACATATCTGGAAGACAACACCTTAGAGCAGGGGTGTCAAACTCATGTCATCATGGCACCATCACATGATGCCTTTTTCCCTTTTGCTAAACCAGGCATGGGTGTGGCCAGTGCATGACGCATCTGGCCTGCGGGCCAGGAGTTTGACAGCCCTGCCTTAGAGAAACCCACTTTAAGCAAATTGGTTGTGAAATGCAATATCCCTCAAAAATCACAAATTGAGCTTTAAAAAGAACACGTCATGTTTTTTACAATATTATAATGGAATTATACAGTGATGTGCAATGGTTAAATTTAAACTGATGCAGGCAGTTTTATAGCTATTTTATGAACAGTAACTCAGACTTTCTTGTAGCTTAACTGCTTTTGCTAGTAGTTAATTTCCATAACAATATGAATTGTATTCATCCATTAATAAAAAAAAAACATATTTTTATTTGATGGAGTGCTATTTAAATAAGAATATAAGGAAGCAGGGGTATAGCATTTTTAAGGAGGCTGACTGCCCTCTGAATATTTTCAGAGTTCAGCTTTTGATCATGAAGGGGACAGCTGCATCAGAACAACCGCATAGGGGCAGGTTGTGTACTGCGGGCTTGTTTTGACCACTGTACTTACAGCAGAGTGAGCAATCTGTTCTCCACCAGGTATGGTCAGATGACTACTCCTATTGTTGGCTAGGCTCTCTAGAAATTATGGTTATGGGCTCCTGACAATGATGGGTTGCCCCCGGTTCAGACCGGTTCGCAAGAACTGGTAGTAAAACTGGTGGGAGGCTCCGCCCACTGACCCGGATGTCATCATAGGTGATCTGCGCATGTGCAGAAGCTTCTGCGCGTGCGCATGCGGGCGCGATGCAAACCACTAGTAAAGTTAAGTAGAACCCACCTCTGGCTCCCGACTACATCTATAGGGCAGTGTGTCATATGATCCTGATCTACAGATCTTTACTGTATATTAACCCAGAATGAGTCTCTTTGCATTCATTTGCAATTTATAAAGCAACAAAATACATCTGAAGCTGAGACTGAATGCTCTCCAAGGGCTCATGACTTCCACCCGGTATCTTCTTTAGCTTTTATTTATTGTTTGTTTGTTTGTTTTCTACTACACTATCTAAATTTATCTCCAGCTTTGTTTCTATAACAACTCTCTAGTTTTGTTTGTTCGTCTTCTGATGAACCTATGTGTTCAGTTTCAGGATGGAGGCAGGTACAAGTACAACTGGATGTTATTTTAAAAAAAGATATGATCATGACTGCTTGGGCTTTAAGCTTTCAGACAATCCTGAATGCAACCGAAACATCAGAGTACAAGCTTAATGAGCCTGTCTGCATTTCCTTTTAGAGGTGCCATTTTTAGGACTCTAATCCTGCAGAATTGATACCTTTGGTACTTTGTTCTGTCTCTTTTCCACTCTCAGATCTGAAGATTTCAAAAATGTGTATATATTTTTAAACCTTTCAAATGGAAGAAGCACTACTTTCAGTCATACTTTAACACAGTTCTTTTGGCTAACATGGTTTCTTTGCTTTTCCAAAATTTAACATCCTTACTTAGGTGTAAGCTCTATGGAAAATACTGATGTTTACTTATAAATAAACATCAGCTGGGTCAGGCTGCCCATTTAGAATAATCTGTTTAAGGTTTTTGTACTAATTACAGAGCTTTCCAAAAGCCTTTTGGTAATGAATGATCCATTTTAAACAGAAGAAGTTGCACAAACTGTTTAATAAAGTCAATGTTTAAAGTCCCTATGTCCGGTAAACTGTTTGGTTTGACCTATTTAGGCCAACATCAAGTTACATATTAACATTTCTTTTAGGTACCGAAGACATTTTACTACTTATATTCAAAGTAGTTATAAAAATTACTTGAATTATTTTAGTAGAATTTAGTAGAATTAATTAATTAAAGTACTTTTTTATTACTAGCTATTGGTAATCCCGAAGGTGCTTTTTCAAGAGGCAACTGGATTTTCTGGGGGTTTTTTTCTTTGAAGACATTTCTCTTCTCATCCAAGAAGCTTCATAGACATTTAGCTGTTGGTAAATTACTCTAAGATGTTAGTATTAACTAACACGATTAAGCAAAGGAACTAAGACAGGTGTAGTTTAATTCAACAGCAACATAAGAGGAAGTTTTAAAATTAAGGTTCTTTTTCCCATTGTGGTTACATGAATGTGGTTATTGTATATCTTGTATCAGTACAGTACAGTACATACTTTACTGTACAGCCTGGTGTACCATATAAAGGCTTAAATGATGAAAAATAAAACTGGTTAGCCAAGAACATGATGGAACAACATGATTGACTAAACAGAGAAAAATTCTTGTTACTTTTAATGGAGTTTCAAAGAATCTGAAAAACCAACAGAAATAATTAAGTTTGATAATGAAGAATTGGTCAGATTTGGGGCATTTCTTTGTGATTTGGAATGTTATTGTTTTCCATAGGCTATACAGTATTGAGAATGAGTCCAGTAATTTAACTTCTAAAAAACTAGAAGCATGTTGATAATTCTGAAAGCTGATATGACTCTTCCCTTGATATAGTTGACAAGCAACCTAAGGAACTATAACAAGGTGCTATCTAGGACTTACATATTTATTCCTTCTTATCAAACTGTGCTGCAGGCAAAAAGTAGCAAATAATATTATAGTTTCTAGTGTAGACTCCTCCCGATTGATTTATTTTGAACGAGCAAGGTTTCATTTTATGATGCAGAAGATTAAAATAGTGCTATCATCCAATGACTAATGTGTTATTTAGCTATAATGGATTTTTAGCTATAATGTTTACTGGGCTGATTCCTAATATTCCATATTTACATTTTAACTCTCTTTCTGATTACTGTTAGAGAGATTTCATGCAGATGAGTACCAATAAATGGAAGATGAATGACTTGCTAGGTCCTGTCTCCATTTGTGCTTCCTGGTTTTGATGCTAGAAATACAGATAGTCCTTCACTTACAACCACAATTGAGCCAAACATTTCTGTTGTTAAGGGGGCCTTTTTTTAAGTGAGTTTTGCCCCATTTTATGACTTTGCTTGCCACAATTGTTAAGTGAATCACTGCAGTTGCTAAGTTAGTACCACGGTTGTTAAGTGAATCTGGCTTCCCCCATTGACTTTGCTTGTCAGAAGGTCGCAAAAGGGGATCACATGACCCTAGGACACTGCAATCGTCATAAATATGAGTCAGTTGCCAACCTTCTGAATTTTGATCACTTGACTCTGGGATGTTTCAATGGTTTTAAGTGTGAAAAACGGTCATAAGTCACTTTTTTCAGTGCCGTTGCAACTTTGAACAGTCGCTAAATGAACTGTTGTAAGTTGAGGACTACCTGTTAGTAATAGCAATAGCACTTAGACATATACATTGCTTTACAGTGCTCTCACCCTAGTCATCACTTCTTTACCCTCCTATCATCGGGAAGGAGACTTAGAAGTATAGCCAGCCGCACAAACAGGCTGAAGAATAGTTTTTATCCATGGGCTGTCAGACTCCTGAATGAGAAATAACATCATAACTATGTAGTATGATGGATTGCAGGGCCGGCGCAATGTGTAACATGTTCACACTGGTGAAATAGGACTGGGTGTTTTGTTAATATGATTTATTGGGTTAGGGATTTTCTGTCTTCACTGTAAATTGTATTGTGTTGTGGGGGGGGTGCACTGAGGGAGCTCAACCAATCTCATTGTACATATGTTGTACACCGACAGTAAAGATTTGAATTGAATTTAGAGCCCCCTCTAAGCAGTTTACAGGGTCAGCCTATTGTCCCCAAACAATCTGGGTCCTCATTTTACCCACCTCAGAAGGATGGAAGGCTGAGTCATCCTTTAGCCTGGTGAGATTCGAACTGCCAAATTGCAGGCAGCCAGCAGTCAACAGAAATAGCCTGCAGTACTTCACTCTAACCACTGCGCCACCATGGCTCTAAAATGAATAATTCTATGAGTTTCTTTACAGAGCTGTTGTCTTCTTTCAGAAGCTGTAAATATGTGAGCTCCAATCTAAAGAATTGGAACAAACCAGGTATGCTTTATTTCCTGGGGGAGTTTGGTGGACACGAAGCATGGGTAACCACTCTAGAGCATTATCGTTGTCTTAATGGTTTGTCCCATTTGTTCGAATTTGCATTGTAGTGATTACATTGGAACTTATCCCTTTGATGTCGTAAGCGTGTCCTCCAGAACTGCCAGAGGATCTGGCCTCCTTCCAGTTGACATCCTCGAAATGAATTTCCTAATGAACAACTGGTTACGAGTTGCCTAAGAGTCCTTTATTCATCATGATATGTTTTTAAAGGTTGTTTTTTTTAAATTAAAAAAAAGGAGATTAGCTTGTAGGCTTTAGTGGGATATCATATAATAGCTGGGAGGATATGATGGAAGCCTAGTAAAATGAATCAAAATCAGCACAGCCCAACCACGGGATTTAAGGAATTTATTATCTCACTGTAAGCTAATGAGGGATCCTTTTTGAAATGTTTTCCATTCAAGTATTGAAGTTAACACTGGATTAAATTGTCATTCTCTCTGATACCCTTGTATCCCTAGTTCCTGTGTGGGACTATTATTCAGTCATTTCTTTGCACAGCACCAATACTTTAAAAAAAATGCATTCATTATTCATAAAGCCTTGATATGAAGGATTACTGTTTAAGTTAATTGTACAAAACTTTAAATCAAATCTCAATTTTAAGAGTTTTTGTAAAAAAAACTAATCTAGGTAGATTAGTTATAAAGTCAAAGAAGGCTGGATTTCTATCTGGGAGTTTTGAAACAGCAAACCTGGCTTTCCTGAGCAGGTTTGGGTTTCTAGCAAGGGGAGAAAAATCCCCTACTTTTCTACTCCCAAAATAAGGTCTTGATCCAAAATGGCTCCTGTGGTAGTCACTTCTAGGGAAAAAAATCTTGCATTTGTGGACAAGCTATATGACTAATATAAGGAATTTGTCTCCCTAACATTTTTAAATTTTTAATATGTTTTAAATGCCTGGGTTTGGACTGAGAGATTTGCACTGAAATATTATAACTGGCCATGGGATGTCCTGGCAGGTAAATCAGGAGGAATGAAGCAAATTAGTTAGGCAATGAAAGAAAAGAGAGAATTGATGCATATGAAGGAGCTAGAGAGGAATAAAACAGGCCACATATCGCTATTGGAAATTGTGAGAAAAATCCACAGTCCAAACAAGACAGGAGACAATGATGGGAAAGAAAATACTCAAGTATCAGTGGGAGTTGATTTTTTCAATTCCCACTTTTTCACTTTCAAAAAAGTGAACTTTTTTCCTTAAAGCAAGCAAAACTAAAAACCCACACAGAACCTTTGGAGCTTTGCTAAGACAAAAGGAAACATTTGGAAATAATACATATATATGTTAGGGTAGAGAACAAGGTTGGGAGGGTTGTGTTTGGGAAAGACAGCTCTCTAGTCTATTGCAAGACAAAAAAAGACATCATTTGAGCCAATGGTGAGAGTTTGGTTGACTGATAGTTGGATGAAAAATAAAATGGAAAAACGAGAACAAGTATGGGAAGGAAAATTTGAGTTGAGTGCACTCCTAGTAAATTACCTGAGTGGGATTGTATTGTTTTCTTGACAATAATATGGACATGGTTTGCCCTTCTACCTTTCAAAATCCCCCCACCTTCCTTATCTTGGAAGTCTTCCATCCAAGTTCTAAATGCTGTAGTTCAAACCTATTTTATTTGTTAGTCTACTGTTTTTAAGTTCAGCCAAGCTGAGTTAGGAACCGGTGTAAAAGGATTAGAACATCCACTCCCAACTGACCACGTTTTTTTTTAGAAATCTCAACTGTTCCAGCCTAACTTCAGATACCAGTCTGGGAAAGCTGATTCAGAAAATTGCTGTTTCTGTCTGCACCGATACTTGGCATCCCTTGTTCCCTTTTGCTAAAAGGTTTATGGTTAAATTAGCTGCTGAGGCAGGAGCCTGCTAAGCCTCCTATAATGCTTTGTCGTTCTCCACTTACCTTCATAATTAAAACTTGGGAAGAGATGCCCAGGCATCGGTTTCACAAAAGCAAGCGGAAGAAAAAAAACCTGATGGTAAGAAATGAAACTCACGCTGTGCTTCTCCGCTTCTAGCATGTCTGAGAGAAGTGCCTAGATTTCATGATCAATAAAGTGTTGAAAAATAAGCCCTCTGTGGCAGTCGATGCTTAATAATCACAAGGAAGACATGCAAGGGCAAAGTATTTTGTTTAATGTTTATAATCTCAGCGTGAAAGTACCACGTTGGGATCAATCAGCCTTTTATCTTGCAAGACGGCTGGTCGAACATCATACAGCAACTAACCAAGTGTGCCGGCCTGCAGAGATTCTGTTAACTTATTCTTTCTGCAGCTTGCCCACCGCTGAACAAACGGGAAGATTACCCTGTAATCTGGCAGGACATTCAATTAATCGGTAGTGGTGAGTTTCATTCTGCTTAGGAGGTTGCAAGATGCCAGAACTTCTGTCATTTGTCACATCCATTCCTGTCTTGCATTCAGGATAACTGCACGCTTTTAATCCTCCTAAATTTTGCAAGCATCAGCATTGATAATCCAGTATAGTTTTCTGATACTGCTACAAAAGCAAAACTATTTAAATTAGTATATATTACGGGAAGTCCTCAACTTACAGTATTTATTTATTTATTGGTTCGATTTATATGCTGCCCTTTTCCGGAGACTCAGGGCGGCTTACAATGCGTTAAGCAATAGCCTTCATACTTTTGTATATACCTGCTTAATAGAGCTTTCGGGGGCCCCCTAAGCGGTGTTCTTTTTTATACAAAGTCAGCTTATTGCCCCCACAAACCAGGTCCTCATTTTACCTACCTCGGAAGGATGGAAGGCTGAGTCAACCTTGAGCCTGGTGAGATTTGAACTTGCAGTAATTCATTTGCAGTAGTTCATTTAGTGACCGTTCAAAGTTACAGCGGCCCTGAAAAAAGTGACTTATGACCGTTTTTCATACTTGCAACCATTGCAGCATCCCCATGGCCACGTGATCAAAATTCAGATGCTTGGCAACTGACTCATATTTATGACAGTTGCAGAGTCCCAGGGTTACGTCATCCCCTTTTTGCGACCTTCTGACAAGCAAAGTCAATGGGGAAGCCAGATTCACTTAACAACCGTGCTACTAACTTCACAACTGCAGTGATTCATTTAACAACTGGCAGTAAAGGTCATAAAAGTGAGGCAAAAGTCACTTAACTGTCTTGCTTAGCAACAGATACTTTGGGCTCAACTGTGGTCATAAATTGAGGATTATCTGTATTTCAAAGACATTAGATTTCTTGGTACTTCTTAAACATCCCAATACTTTAGGATGGAGAGAAACAAGAGAAGTCTGTTGCTAGAATCTAGCTCTAAAAAGCCTAAATTATATCTCTAGTACAGGGGTGTCAAACTTGTGGCCCGCTGGCCAGATGCGTCATGCGCTGGCCACCTCCACCCCCAGTTTAGTGAAGGGGAAAAAATCATGACAACATCACGTGACAACAACCTGATGCTGTGAGTTTGACACCCCTGCTCTAGCACTTCGTTTCCACCCTTCCAATTTGGAAGAACTCTGGAGGAGTCTTGACTCTTCCATTAGATTTCAGAATGAGTTCCAACACTGAGCGAGCATTGTTTACATTTGTTCATGACCATTGGTAGGCATGGAATGGGAATATTGCATCTATTATGAACCCTCCTTGTTGGCTATTGATATCATTGACCTCAATGCCATTGACTGTGTTCTGGACCTGTTCAGCGGGATGGGAAGCACAGTATTAAGATGGTTCTCTTCCTTGGTCCATGGCTGGTTCAATTTGGTATTGGTTGATGGGAAGAAATCAAGCCCAATGCTCTTGCTTTACAGGGTTCCTTAGGGGCGTACTCTCTGCCCATCCTTTTAAACTCCTATATGAAGCTGCTGCAGGAGACGACCAGGCTGAGTCCAAAGGTGGGGTCAAATGCATTATCAGTTTGGAGTTTCTACACCCACGTAAAAATCTTAAATCCAGCCCTCTCTTGAAATCCGTTGACTCTTATTTGGCATCAATTCGCCTTGACCGTTAGTAGTTCAGATTGTTGTGTATAGGTAGCCTGAAATAAACCTGTAGTACTTTTGAATTCTATCTTAGCTCCTGGTTTCTTGCACCTGACCGCTGCTAAGAGTAGTCATCCATTCATATGGAGCAATTATACATCTCCGCCATTGCGCCAGTGAAGTGATGCTGTTGCGATTTTCCAGATTTAGCTCTGAAATCTGAGAGCCGGTGCACAATTTGAGGGGGTTCCTCTGGACTCGGGACTCCTGCTTGAAGAAGAGCAGGTGGAAGCCATGATCAGGAGGGTCTTTGTTGCAGATCTGTGTTGTGTGCCAATTGTGCTTGTTTTAGGAATGAGAGGAGACCTGCCCCTCCATCCTCATCCATGTTTGTTAGTTGCCGGGGAGGTGGGCGGGGAAGCCACCCTTGAGGTCCATCAGATGGAAAGGGGGAACTATCAAGGCTGCATTTTCTCTGTAGCAGATACTGGACAGAAGTTAGCCTGGTCATCTGCAGAAGATATCTCCCCCCCCCAAAGCTGTCCATATTGTGGAGAAAGGCAAAATGCTAATTCCAACCCTATGTACAGTAACTCCTAGGTCTGGAAGGCACCACTATGTATGTTCTCTTCCAGCCCTATTTTTGCTTTCCTGCTTGACTCCTCTTTTCTTTAATCCTCTGGCTTTAATGCCTTCAGCTGTTGCCATTACTACTGAGTCACTTGAACATCTTTGCGCAATCTAATCCTTATTTTCCAGTACGGCGTTTGCACAACATATTGAGTGTGAAATGTTACGAAACCTGCTGCTCTGAGAGTCAAATGAGCAGTTTCAATTTGAAATGCTTCGAAAGCATGCTTTCGAGAGTAACCCGTTTCCTTTCCAGAACAACAGCAGCCGTGCGCTCAAGGGTGCAAAATTCACCTTCAAAAAAGTTTCGAAATGAAGCCCATCCTTATTCTGCATTCAGCCACAGCCTGCAGCTCCCAAATCCCTTCTTACCTGTCTTTGGATCGCTTTCCCGTTGTTTGCCCATCACTGATTAATGTTTAATATCCCATGTTTCTTAGGGATGCTAATCCAAACAAGTGAACAATTTCCCTTTGTCTTTCAAGTGTCGGTCTAAGGACTTGGCAATCGAAATGCCACAAAGCAAAGCAGACAAAGATTTTACCACACAAATAAATTACTTTATAGATTACTGAAGAGTAGTAGGGATTGTGGAAAGAAAACTAATACACTGTATGAATCACTCATACAGTAGTGATTGCATCAGAATCCAGTGCTCCCCGTTGTTTTGTTTTGTTTTTGTTAATTGTGTAATGAAGAGTCAAAGTGGGAGAAGGGCGGTATAGAAATAAAATTATTTATTTATTTATTATTATTTTAAATGACCTTTATTTGCTCATTTTTGAAAAGAACACATACAAGGTGACTTTGGGTAGTCCTTGATTTACGATCACTATTGAACCTAAAATTTCTGTTGT